TCATCGGCAGGTGCAGGACCCCGAGCAGATCCAGAAACTACAGCGCCAGAAAACTACAACCAGCATTACATTCTCTTGATGGAATTAACTGAAGGAGCATCAAAGTCTGAGGGGTCACGCCGAGGTTGCATGCTCTCTGCTCCTCAGGGTAAGTTTTATTTTTAATTTGAACTAGTGACAGTCACGGTACCCTGAATTCTATGTACTGCCCCGTAGTGCCAGGATACTACACACTGTCACTTTAAATGAAATCAAGGACGGGCCTTTTCAGTTCACTAAGAGCTTAATGTGTGGCTGAAAAACTAACAATGACAAAATTATGGGTATTTATCGAGATGTCTCTTATTATGTCTGGTAAACCTAATTAAATGGTTTGATCAACAACTTGTAGCCAAGAGGGATTGCAACGTGTTACTACGGGTTATAATTACAACTGGGCGTGTTCTCTGAGTTTCTCTCAGGACTACTAGAACACTGTTGTGTAATTGTCGTTCCCCCCCCCCCCCCCCCCCCCCCCCCCCCCCCCCCCCCCGCTGCTTCACCCTGATTTATTTCCTGCAGAAAAAAACCCTTATCAGGTCCATCACCTCAGGAGCATTTGAAGTTTTTGTCTAGCTCTGCAAGATGTTAATTTTGTAAATACAGACCAATGTAGAGAGATATGGGTGGGGATGAGAGAGGTGTCGCAAAGTGTAAGAGCTCTAATATTCTTCAGGCAGCCTTTTTCGTAGAAAAGTGTTGGTCTTCTTGTGTTTGTTTCTGTCTTTTAGCCTTAACTTTCATTCCATCTGATTCCTACTTTACATCTGAAATACTTGATCATGTGACCGCCAACTCTTTAGGACAAGACTCTGCTATCCATACATGCCAAGAATAGGAGACACTCCTCTGAGAGAGTGTTTAGATGTTAAACAGAGAAGATTGATGGTCCTAAAGGATGTGATAATCTTCGTCAAACAAGGAAACAACAACATTAAACAGAGGAGGAGATGTGATGTTTCCACTTCCCAGAACTTCCAGTACAACTGGACACTCCCTGTGGAGTGTGCTCAATACATCTTGTATGTGGACCAGGACATTAAAGACTCCAGGACTTTCAGTGTGGAGGATAATTGAGTTGGGTTTGCAAACAAGCATGCATTACCAAAGAGCCCCTACAGGTTAAAAGCTTCTTACTTTAATTTTTGGAGCTTGAATAGGAAAAAAGGTGACCTCCACCAGCAAGCAATGTAGGTTAAAGCTGCAATAGCAAATCTGCAAAACAAGCTAGCTTTTAAATGCAAACATAGTCACAAAACGCGCAGCATGGGTATCAACCCTGGGCTACGTCCGCCCGAACCGGAAACCTGCATTGCCAGAAACGAGAGCGCTAAAGACCAGTATTTGTTTTCTAGATTTAAATGTCTTTTGTTGTCCGTGACTTCAAATGGTGTTTTTCTTTTTGGAACTCTGGTAGTTTGTCCTAAAGTTGAAGTGGTAACAGCCGACTGTTTCTCTGATATCATTGAGTAGAGAACCTCTCACACCAGTGGTGTTCTGTTGCAAAATGCACGAGTGAGAAGTGTGGAAGCGTGGCAGTTTGTTGAGACCATCAACATATATACTGGGCAATTCATGTCCATAGGCTCCAATTATAAGTTTTTGAGCCAAAATGGGAGGCGGCCACCACCGCCATTTTGACCGTGTCACAGGTTCCGTCAAGCCCAGACAATTCCGTAAAAGGGAAAAGAGGTGGAGCTGAGGATGGGGCTGTAAGGCTGGGATTAAATGACGACACACGTCGAACTGAAGTGATGGAGCTACAAGCTAACCCAAAGCTAACGCGGAGGTGGGAGCTAAGCTAACAGTGGTAGCTACCTAGCTACAACTGGAGTTAACTGTGCACAACACCGGAGCTTCTGAGTCAGAGGCCGGGCTAACCGCTGGGTAACACAAAGGTTTCCTAGAGCTCCACAAGCCGGCAGCCGCACAGAAGACAAGCGCCGCAGCGATCAGAGATGCGCCGAGCTGCCGCTGAGGGAAGGGAAGGGAAGACCATACCAACAGTTGGAACCCAGCTCCACCAACATGTTTCAACCCAGTTTCAAAAATGCAGCATTGTGTTAAATGCACTGGGTTTTACCCTATTACATTTAAATTTAATGGTTAAACAGTACATGTTAAAATCTAAGCTCAGCTAGCGCAAGAGCGGCAGTGACCTAAAATACATGAATATAATTTTATTCACTGAAAAAAATGAAGTGGAGACTCCTTGGACACTCTATTAGTGCAATTAATGCCACAGCAAGTCATTTTGTCCAACAATTGCACAAATAATATCCAAAAAGAATGCACAAACGCTACAACTAATGGTCTAAGTTGAGAGACTGAAAATGGCGGAACAGTTTTAAGGTGAGGCCGAGGCTCAGGCTGAGGCCTATCCACTGAGCTAGCTCTGCGGCCACGTGGGTCTGATGCTCATTAATTATTCTGAATTTTAGGCATTTTAATACAGTTAAACAGGAGAGTGACAAAAAAATTCAACCCCCTCAGAGTTGTCATGAGTGTAAACTAGATCTATTAATCCTAAAACATGTTTTGGAACCAGGTTGTAAACATGTTTATTTCTGCTGTGAAATTGGTATTTTTAACATGGAAGTCAATGAGGATTTGCTCACTTCTGACACCAGCCCCCAGCGGATGAGGGTGGAACTGCAATTTTCCTCACTTCCTGTTTTGCTTCATATCCAGACCCGAATTATGGGGCTTGGGTGAGACGGACAACAGGGTGGTCCAATAGTTGCTGTCGGGCCAAGCCGTGTTATTGGCAGACGTTTCTAGACATTATTTTATGTCCACCATATATTTACAAATATATTATGTTAGAATGTTGCTAAGAAGCATGAAAGAAAAATGTTTTAAGCTACTTGCTTTTGCAGCTTTAATTGTCTTGCCCAAAGACTCAGCTGCCACAGATAGGGCTCGAACCTGCAACCTCTCTGGTTACTAGCCTGGCCTGCCGTACCCACCCTCTGTCTGTTCTACACAGAAGACAAGTCTGGATGCAAAGGGGGCGGGACTAGACAGCTCAAAAATAACCAATCAGAAAAAAGGCTGAAATAACAACTGTATTGTGCGATGCTGTTTTTTTTTTTTACCTGTGGTCAAAGATGGCATCTGGCAACAGCGCAGACATCTTTCTTTAGAAGAAAGGCTTTCAGCGCTTCTTGTGGTTTTAAAGACATGTCCAAGTCATTTAGAACAGAAGAAAGAGCCTCAGCGAATCTGCTCAGATCTTTGTTGTTTATGAGAAACTGGATGTTTCTCAGTGCCAAGGAGCCTCGCCTTGATGTCTTGGCCTTGCCCTTGTTGCCTAGGAGGTATGTCATCAGGAACCGCCAAGACATGTTCCAATGTTCATGTTCTACCGAGGCGTCTCTTCTCCGTTTGTTAGCCGTTTAGCTAGCTGAGCAAGGATACACAGGAGGTTCCTTGTAACCTATAGCCTAGCCTTGGTCAAAATTTCCCAGAATACACCACAGTATTTTCAAAAGGATGGCGGATCAGAAGCCGGCAGCTACTTTGGGGGCAAATTTCAAGTTTAAAAGTAAGTCAACTCATTTAAAATGTTTTTTTTAGATCCAAATAAGTTAGTTGTTTAGTAGTTGCAGCTTCGGTGGCTAGCGGGAAGTAACTCACTTACAAATACATACACAACTTAAAAAGTAAAAGATTATATAATTATATTGAAACTTATACGTATAAATATAACGTCATCTCCCGTGTCACGTGATGTTGCGTGACCGTTGTGAAAGCCACAATCACGTGATGTAAGTCTGTTCCGTTAAACCATTTTCAACGACGAAGGAAGGACAGTGTTCCCATAAGCAAGGCGCCTGGCCTCGCAAGGCATTGGGTGTTTCTCAATGTCAAGGCGCCTTGCCTTGTGAGGCGATGTCTTGCGAGGCCAGGCGCCTTGCTTACGAGGACACTGTCCTTCCTTGGTCAAAGAAAATGGTTAAATGGAACAAACTTGCATCACATGACCGCGGCTTCCACGGTGGTCACGTAATGTCACGTGACATGGGAGATAACATTATATTTTATACATATTAGTTTCAATATAAATATATAACACAACTTTTACTTTTTAAATTGTGTATATGTTTATTAAATTTAAAATATACGCGAGTTACTACCTGCTAGCCACCAAAGCTACAACTACTAAGCAACTAACCAACCATAGATAACTTTTTTGGATCTAAAAAAAACCATTTTAAATTAGTTGACTTAATTTGTCCCTGAAGTAGCTGCCGGCTTCTGATCCGCCGTCCTTTTGAAAATACAGCTGTGTATTGTGGGCAATTTTTGACCAAGGCTAGGCTACAAGACACCTCCCGTGTGTCCTTGCTCAGCTAGCTAAATGGCTAACAAACGGTGAATACACGCCTCGGTTGAACATGGTCATTGGAACCGATTGGAACACGTCTTGGCGGCTCCTGATGAAGTATCTCCTAGGCAACTGGGGCGGGGCCAAGACTTCAAGGCCAGGCGCCTTGACATTGAGAAACACCCAGTGTCTCATGTGTGCCTAAACTGCTCAGTGCCGACCGGTTAGAATTAACAGGGGGTGAAGTTATTGACTGTTACCAGGCCCTTTGCTTCCCACAAGGGAGCATTGACAAGGCTGGCCAGGCTATTCGTTTACGGGTTGGGCCACCATAACCGTCCTCTGCCACGGTCAATTAATAAAATTAAAATAATACGACTAGTAAAAAACAGCCAAACATTCTGTTATATAAATAATAAAAAATAAGACAACATGTGAGTTTTACCTTTTTAACAAAAATATTTGCTTCCGTGACCAAAATCACGGGACAGAGCTGAGAACACTGTGTTTTTTAACAGTTTGAGCCACACGAACGCCACGTTTGTGTGAACTAAACGAATCTGTTTTCACCTACAGCCACTGAACGCCTCTCCAGCGAGTAACCGGGTCACGTGAGATGCTCCGCTAAGAATGCAGTGACGTGCTCGAGCTCCGTCAGTGTGGCGGTGGCAGACAGACAGCTTTCACGGGCCAGCAGCTGCCTTGCCCGGCCGAGAAATCCAACAAGGGTCGGTCCGAGACTTAGCAGCTGGACGCTGCGGGAGGGGCGGCTTTGGCTAAACCCACAGCCCGGAGGTGAAGGTATACATCAGTTACTGCTTTTGTTCTCCCCTTTAGGACCTCAGGTCCATGTTTTTCAGTGATTGGAGTGTATTGCTGATTTTTTTATATATAATTCTGTTTCCTGTGTCGCGTTTTGCTGCGCACCAGACGTCCAGCATCGTGAAGGACCAGCCGCTCTCCTCATCCTTCCAGCGGATGAAAGTGCAGAGGATGCTGCTTCGGTATTTTCCACGGACAGAAAACACCTCCGTAGAGGGAAATAAACTTGGATAAACCCCCAGAAAAAGCGCTTGAACGGGGAGATAGAACAAATAACACTGTTATAATATTTGAAGTTATATAACGAAGAGGGAAGAAGGAGCCGCTCGCACCAGGAGGAGATGCTCAGACCTGCTCGATCTTTGTGGGGATGAGGACCAGGAGGCTCGGAGCGCATCGAAGGTGTCAGCGCAATTAGAGGAAACAAACAAACACAGGAGAGGCGGTGATGACGGATAAAGTTACCGGGGTTCCCACTCCCCATCAGCCGCAGCAGCATGAGCTGGAGGAGGTACGCAGCCTTGCACGTCCCATCAGTCCTCCACATCCTCATTATTCATTTAGCCTTCCCCTCCTTCCTCTCCACTCCATTACATCCACCTCTCTCAGCTGTCTGGGATCCATGTATCCATCAATCACCTTCTCCATTTAGCCTACCTGTGTTTTTTTTTCTCTCTCCCATAGATTTGATCTTCATCAGATACTTTTTTGGATCCTTAATGGGTTTCTAAAATGTTGCCGTGACAGACAGGGGCCCTCACAGGGTGCTCCAGGCAGGTGGACCTCTGCTAAATAAGAGATAATTAGATTTAATGATGAAGTTACCCTCTTTTAAAATCATAGTTCCTCCTTTTATGTGGCTTTTATGGTCTGATGTGGCCCTTAGTGTTTTTATTCACACACATTTAAGTTCAGAAAACCCTTTCACGTTTGCCAAGCGGTAAAGCTGTGTAGTTCTTATTGATCCAGATCAATATAGGAAGCTTTACCTTCACTTCATTGTGTCAAACTGTCTGAGCTGTTTGGCACGCTGCATTTCTAAAGATATCTGCTTAAAAAAACAAAGAAACAGTGTCCACCATTGCCGCCCAGTCTGTCCACCAGACTATAAAAGTTTAATAGTGTTTAATCTCCAAACCACCTCATAATTTATTGCTCTAGTGAGCCGACCAGCATCCCTGAATACATTAAAACAAATACGACTCAGCTTTGGAGAATAGCTGAAACAAACATGAGGATGAAATTAGAAAAGGTGGCGAGTTGGGAGCACAATTAAAAGAGCTGGGTCTGTTAGTGGGAGAAAAACGCTGTCTTGGAATATTTACTGCAGCTACAGTGGCTCACATCTGCCAAACCTTTATTTCCCAGCGGTCTCCGGTGTTTCTGAGTCCAGCTTTAGGAGGCTGCTCAGTCCTTTTTTTTTACAGCCTCTTAAAGGGCTAACAATTCAAAATCACTGCCATGTTCATATGGTTGTGCACCAAAGGGTCTGTTTTATGTGCATTTCTGTTTGCATCACTGGTGTTGTATTCGTTCACGTCGTTACTGATTATTGTTCCTTTAGTCTTCTGTAAAGTAAAAGGAAATGATTGTCTCAATCTTTAATAATAACACCGATGACAGTAAGAGAAACCAGAAACTGGGCATTTAAAAGTACGCTGATAGTCAGTGGGCTGCACAGAGCCGTGTCCAGGACTTTTAAAATGGGGTGGCCCATGTGGGGCACTTGTTTATGCATGGGTGGCACCAATGGTTTTGCCTATTTATTTATTTACACAAATTGTTAATTTATTTATTTACTCTCTAGTGAATTTTGGAGTTTCACATTGCACAATCACCATTTTTTCTATTCATCTTCTAGTTTTGTGGTGGTTAGCAAGTCAATTCTTGTTGCATTATTGCCACCAACTGGAGTTGAGTGGGACTTTAAATACTGTTTATGTGAATATGAAAAATAATAAATAATATTAATACTACAGAAACGTTCTGTAGGCCTGGGCTAGAAGACAACGCTAAAGGTGCATGCTACCACACACTATTTTTGGAGTTTACAACCCAAGCCTTTTGTCGACAATGTAAAGTTTATTTAAACTGGAACTTAGTAGGGTGGCACCTGGGGTGGCCAATCAGATTCCAAGGGTGGCATGTGCTTCCCCAGGCCACTCCCTGGACACGCCCCTGGGTTTGCATGGTGGCGCGGTTGTTAGCACTGTTGCCTCGCAGCACGAAGGTTGCAGGTTCGAAACTCGGCTGCGGCCTTTCTGCGTGGAGTTGCATGCGTGGGTTTTCTCCGGGTACTCCGGTTTCCCCCACAGATCACAACATGCCTTATAGGTTATAAATTGTAAGTCGCTTTGGATAAAAGCGTCTGCTAAATGAATACACATAAACAGTGGGGGAGTTTTATTAAACCTAAACACGCATCCTCTCAGAAACAGCTGCTTCTAAACCAAGACGGGAACCACTCAAATCTTTTTAGTTGCCACTGACGTGTTTATTTTGGTTAACCGAGCCTTTAAGAATCAGCTGTGGTCGTGTTGTGTGATGAAGAGGCTCAAGTGGCCTGTCCCAATTCTGACCAACATCTACTTGTATAAATAAAAAAAACCTCTCCTTCAGTCATCCTCCCCGTCCCTGCAGCGTTGACATCACTAGATATAAAGTTCATGAACATAAATGTATTTTTTTGATCAGTTGGTGGATTTTGATCATGGAAACTAATCTTTTAATCCGTGTTTTATTTCGGTTTTGGCCTAATCCTGGTATCTAGTGATGAAACTGTCTGTTCACATGACTTTTTGCATGTCTGAATAATACAGGGAGGAGAGGCGTGGGTATTTCATAATCACCCCTGTGAGAGGGATGTGGACACAGGGATTATTGTGCAGATCAGGAAAAGGACTGTTACTTGTTGCACTCGTGGTAAAGTTCAGAGAAACTGAATGTCACAAAAGGAGTCGAACACTTGTATCAGGGCTGGGCGATATGGACCAAAACTTATATCTCGATATCTTTTAGCTGAATTCCGATATACGATATATATCGATATTTTTCTTCCTGTAAAATATTTACAAGTTAACTCAGTTCAAGCTGTCTTGAGAAATTATCACACACACACACACACACACACACACACACACACACACACACACACACACACACACACAGTTGAGAGTTAGAGGTGTATCAAATATCCCACAGGCGCTTTTCAATTATATTTATAATTAATGTCAAATTATTTAAATTTCATCTAGAGGTGGCCATATTGTATATTTCTTGTCCAGAGAAAAATAAATCTATCATGTTAAACTAAATGTATGCTGATGTAATTGCATCTACTGAAGATCACATGGGTCATGCACCATGGAGTTTTTAGTAATGAGGGCAAACATAGCTGGAATCTAACAGTATTGGCTCACATCAGCGATTATACTGTAATGATTCAGAGTCTCTGGTTGCTCATTTATGAGTGTTATTTTCGGGCTACTGTCGCCGTAACCCACGCCTTACAAACTCATAACTTTTTCTACAGAATCGCTCGTAACGGAGTATTTACTAGCATAGCAAACCAGAGCGGAAAAAACCGGAACAGCATTTCTCACCCGTTGAGCTCGCCTTCAAAATAAAACGGTAACCCTATAGTTTACTATGCAAACCTTTACAATATATTTGAGGTAATTTGGCCTCTCCGGCTTTCCGTAGTTGTTTCCTTATTGCACAGGGGAGGGAGGGGTTTGGCTCGTCTCTGCGCACAAGAAGGATGGATAAACAGAACTCCGTTGACATTGAACGTCCACAAATAATTAAAAACCAGGACGCCAAATGCAAAGTTTAGAGCAGCACATTTACCCAGAGGCTCTCCGACTGAGCAAACTTGTAACAATACATGTAATAGCCGCTTAGAGACAGAGCAACATGTCGCTAGCATAGCGGCTAATCGCTAGCATAGCAGTTTGACCAGTTATATCGATATAAAGATATAAAGTCATCTTATATCTTGTTTTATAATTATACCGATATTTTAAAATATAGATATATCGCTCAGCCCTAACTTGTAGTTTGTATAAAGGAATGCATTATGAATTGTTATCAGTGGAAAAAAGCTCTGGCGCTCCTGTTTTAGGATGTAGGACAGATTGGGGGGACAGAAATCAGGAAGGATTACGAGTCTTGCTTATTCGTGAAAACATCTTGCCTCTGATTGGCTAACAGCAGTGTTAATATTAACTCATTAAAGCTTCTTTCCGAAGTATTCCTCTTAACCGATGGCACCATCTAGTGGCTGGCAAGCATATCACACAACAACTGTGTTGTTCTGTTTTTTAAGATGGCGACTTCACGTTTCTGTTTATAAATGTGCTTCTGTAGCTGACAAACAGAGCTAAAACGCGCTGTTTTACGAGTATTATTCGCATGTTGTGTTGTGTTCTCATATATTTATATTTTAGAGACATACTTGTCCGTGAAAAGTCCATCAACTCTGCAGCAGCCGAGGTATTTCTTAAATTTGAAGCAAGTAAGCGGTAGTTTAACGGTATTGGTTATTTCTGGTCGGCGCTCAGTTTTCTATTGCACGGAGCTCTGCGGGGCAGGGGCCGTGTGTAGCAAAAAAAAAAAAAAAAGACATATCGCTTACATTATATCACAGTACATGATGAGACAATCGCTCTTACAGATTTCTGACAAATCATACATAATTTCTGAAAAGGGAAAACTCCGGAAAGCAGCTTTAACCGCCGCTGACGAGAAAAGTCGTCATTTTAAATCCAACTGTTCACTGCCAAGTCATCATTTGTATTTTTTTACTGTGTGGGCATCGAAACGAGCCCCCGCACTGTGAGAACAAACGTCCAAACGTCCAAGCTCAAAAGCCGATCTTTATCCGCGTACGTCACACATCACGTGATCAGGATACAGAAAATCCATGTGTTAGGAAATTGTTTTGGGCCACTGCTGTAAAAAAAAGTGAGGCGTGAACCGGAAAAGCTTCTGCCGATCACAATTCGTCAACGGATTATGAAAGAACGGATAACGCTTGTTGTACTTTCCGGATCTGCTCGGGGTCCTGCGGCTGCTGATGACATCATCGTACTACGGCAATACAAATGAGCCAAAATATAGTGCATCTCTTTTTAAAATCTGTTCTTCCACAGATATTTGGGGAAGAGTTTAGCAGTTTTGTTATTACATTTGTGTTTCTTACTGTCTAACTGTGTGTGAACATGGTAAAGTAACTTTTGTAAGGTTTACGTCCAGCCAATCAGCTAGTGTGTCATCATCAACAGGCGCAGGACCTCGAGCCGGCCAGAAGGAAACATGGCGTCTCATATGTAAGGTTATGAAGTTCATTGTTTTCAACTCCACACAGCTGCCCCCTGTGCACAATAACACCCGTGTAGAAAAACCAAGGTCGGGTGTTCCTCAGACTGTTTACATTCCAGGAGAAGAGTCCGAAGGAGAAGAAGAAGCTTTACTTAATCAAAGTACTTTATTTGTGATTAAAATTATTAA